CACAACATCCGTCCTAACTTGTCAACACTGTCATTTTGATCAGTTGTTATCAACAGGTCCTCGTAGACACTTCGTCTCAGGACCATTTTACACATGTAGAGTCATACGCCGCCATGTTACCTATCCAACGGTAACTTAACCATCACAAATTATAAATACTAATAATGTAAAACAAATTCAAATTTATAACATTTAAAGGGTTTTTACCCATATATTTTGGTGGCTACTAGCATGTACAACCGTAAGTATTAACCACATTTTGCTCTAACCTTTGTCAACATTTTCATTTAACGTTCTTTTTAATTAAAGTGGTTATATACTTTCAGGTTTGCACTGATGATGGATTGTTTAATCCGAAAACGTTTTGCAATGTGTTTGTGATAGCCCGTTTGAGGCATTCTTATATACCTTTTATAAAGGATTTTAACAAAATTTTTTTGTGATATATGGTATACAGCCAGCTACAGGTTAGGAAACTTAGTTTCCCCGTGGAATTTCGAGAAAAGCACATTATACGAAGAAAGTTGAGTTTTGATTAAATTTGAGTCTCTTACCACTCCCTGATACGTGTTTCTGGGTCTACCCGTCATCAGAAGGAGTTTGTAAGAAAACTCAAACCAAATCAAAACGCACCGATTACTCTGGCAATTACATGAAAGTAACTGCCAGAGTATGCAACTAGAGACCTCTAGTGAAAAAAGATGAAGATACCTCGATAGCAATTAAAGTAAACTGCATCTTCTTCTTCTCGTGCCACTCCTAGCGGAGATTATAAATCATCATGGCCACTGCGACTTTGTTAGCAGCGCGCCTGAAAAGTTCAATCGAACTACACCCGAACGATTCACGTAGATTACGAACCCACGATATTTTTCTTCTTCCCACACTTCTTTTGCCCTTAATTTTGCCCTGCATGATGTTTCTTAAAAGTTCGTACTTTTCACCTCAATAGTTTATGCAGTTTACTATCAGTAAACTGCATAAACAAGCTTAATCAAGCCATTCAGAGCGGTGCTGGGCATAAATTATATTCCAATATGCACCAACAATTTACCCATATAAATTACCATCATTCTTATGATTTACCCATATAAATTTACCCATATAAATTACCATCGTTCCTGATTTGATTTAACTCGGAAATTTCTATCATTTAGAAAAATTTTGACGAATGCTAGAAAATTTCCATCTATGCCCCAATGCTGTAATTTAACAGTAACATCATATTTCCATATAATATCATAAGCTTTAATTATATCAAAGAAGAGAGCTATACATTTTCCATTAGTTGCAAATGCCTCATTAACTGCAGATTCCAGCGCCACTAAATTGTCAGTTGTGCTTCTATTTTTTCTAAAGCCGCTTTGCTGATTAACTATTAGATTGTTTGATTTTAAAAAGAATTGTAACCGTCTATTTAAAATTTTTCCTAGTTATTTACATAAAGAAGATGTTAAGGATATTGATCTATAAGATTCCGGGCTGGACTTGTTTTTGTTAGGTTTCAAAAGAGAAATTATTGTAGCGGTACTCCAGTAGTTAGGAAATTGTTTAGTCGAAAATATTGTGACGTTATGCTTTTATAATTTTTTATTATTTAATTATGCGATCTAATGGAAAATAATTTCTAAGTTTTCAGGAGGTTATTTTTGTTATAAAAGTTTTTATTTCTTGCTAGTACTTCTAAAATCTAAAATCCCTCGTTTTGAGTTGGCCTTCTGATACATCTACTTTATGCTTTTTCTTTTTTTTTTTTAGAGAAGAGTTTTTTAAAGAAACTATTAATTTTTAAATATTGTTTTTTACAAAAAAATTCTATCATTTATCTTCGCATTTGCATAAGTTTTTAGTGCAATTTTGAAGAGATCTTCCTTGATTCATAACTTTTTAGTTACTAATATTATTAACAGTTCATCCCGTCGAATTAATAATAAATCTGCCTTGTAAGATACTAAATACAATTAAGTAAAACTTAAAATTTCACAATTGCTGTTTAATTTTCTAAATTTCGCTGAATAATACCGGAAAGAGCTTCTTCTGATGCGCCGTCAAAAAAGCCTCGAAGAAAGAGCATCATCCGACTTGAGGCAAGACCCGTAATTTATCACAAACTAAAATTTTCATTGATTATTCAGCTCTTTACTAGATGAACTGCATTCAGATTAATCACTTCAACGTCAATGCTAATGGTTTCTTTTGTCAGATGTGGGCAAGTTTAATAATTGATCTTAAGACGGCACACGACGGCGTTTATAAATTTCCGTTTTGGTATCGTTTATCATGTTCTGGCAGACGTACATTAAATTTTTCGTGGAGATCTGCTTAATCTGTTTGCATAATTGTACAGTTTGTTTGAATTTTTGATGGGTATTTGCATTTTATCTACAGAGTGAGAAGTAATATTCTGATTCTGAACATCGTCTCGTATCTAGCTGTTCTCTCTTTTTGTACTATCGTATAGTCCAGGGATCCTCACTAGGATTTCTTTGATATCCTAATAGCTCAGGGCCGCAAGTACAAGTGGTGGTGTGAAATAAGTTTAAAACTATATGACTATAAAATAAATTTATTACAAGTTACGTAAAAACAATCGGGAGAATTCATAGGACAATTTGGACTTGGAGAAAGAAATGAGCAAGGAGAGCGACTGGGTGAATTTTTAGCAGAAGAAGAGTTTGTGATTACTAACACTTACTTCAAGCTCCCACACAGAATATTATATACATGAAAATTACCTCAAGATACTCCAGGCCGCATAGTGAGAAATCAAATAGATTACATTCTGATTAATGAAAGATTCCGGAACAGCATAACATCAGTTAAGACATACCCAGGAGCTGATATCAAATCAGACCATAACCCACTGATTGGGAAAATTAGGCTCAGGCCAAAGAAGGTAAGACGCAGTGTCAATCCAAAATTCGACATCAAGCTATTAAAAGACCAACACACAGAACATAGTGTAAAGCGGTATATACAGAACAATTTGAATATCGTTATTCAATCGGATGTAATGGATCAGGATCTAGAAAAGTTATATACAGTTTCAAAAGACATATGAGAGAAATTTCTCAGACCACCAAAAATAAAGAAGAAATCGTGGATGACAAATGGATTCTAGATATTATGGAAGAGAGGCAAAAGTTCAAAGATTAAGACATATTATTATACAAAAGAAACGATAAAAAGATCATAAAAGCTATTAAAATAGCTAAGGATACACATCTAAGAAAACAGTGTGAGGAAATACAGCAATTGCAACTTAAACACGATTCAATTAATATACACAAAAAAGTTAAAGAAGCCGTAGGCTTATACAAACCTAGAAGAGTTGGGTGTTTGGCAGATTACCAAGACAAACCACTGTTAACTGTGCAAGAAAAACTAGACACTTGGAAGAATTATGTGGAAGTAACTTTTGCAGATGAAAGGCAGAATACCATTGAAGATACTGAATGCCAAACAGGACCCCCGATTACCATTTAAAAAGTCACGTCAGCTATTAAAAGAACTAAAGGTGGTAAAGCGGTAGGGTCTGACGAATTTTGTGCAGAATTCCTAAAACTTATGGATGAATAGGAAATAAAATAGATAGCAACTGTATTCAACAACATATACGTAACTGGAAAAATACCCCAAAGCTGGTTAAAGTCGATCTACATGACCATACCAAAAAAAGTAAATGCCAAGACATGCGAAGACTACAGAACAATTAGCCTAATGAGTCACTTACTTAAAACGTTCTTGAAAGTAATACACGTCAGTATATATAAAAAATGCGAAGAACAAGTATCATTTACGCAGTTTGGATTCCGCGATTCCTTAGGCACCCGAGAGGCTCTATTCGCTGTCCAAGTGTTTATGCAAAGATGCAGAAGATGCAGGGATGTTAACTGTGATGTGTATATTTGTTTTATCGACTATAAAAAGGCATTTGATAGAGTAAAACATGATAAAATTATAAACATCTTGAAAGAAGTGGGGTTAGATAATAGGGACTTGAGAATCATCTATAATTTATATTACAACCAAACAGTCAATATTAAAATGGATGACCAATTGACAGAGGCCAGTCTCCACAGATAGAGGTGTGAGGCAAGGATGCATTCTGTCCCCGGTGTTATGTAATATATACTCTGAATATATCTTCGAGCAAGCGCTGGGAGAACTACAAGAAGGCGTATTAGTCAACGGAATTTCATGGGTGGATCGTGTGACTAATGTTGAGGTCCTACGAAGAATAGGCAAAGAATGCGAGATTATTAACACCATCAAAGAGTGCAAACTAGAATATCTTGACCATGTTATGAGGAATGAACAGAGATACGGTTTGTTGCAACTCATTCTTCAGTGCAAGGTATTTGGAAAGAGAGGACCAGAGAGAAGAAGAATATCTTGGCGTTAAAACCTGAGAGAGTGGTTTAATACATAGACAACCAGACTATTTAGAACATCAGCAAGCAAAGTTAGGATAGCTATGTTGATCGCCAACATCTGGAATGGATAGGCACTGTAAGAAGAAGAAGACGTAAAAACAATATAATTATAAATTATATGAACTGTTTTTCATGTAAAAAGATAGAAAATGTCTTTAACTTGACTCCAGGAATATCAAGTCCTGAATTTGATTATTCTTTGAAGTCGACAGGCAAAATCTTTCACAGATTTCTAGAATGGCATTTATGTTAGCAGGTTGGGAAGAAACTGAAATTCTCAAAATGTTTTCAAAGTTTTCACTAGTTAGCCTAGATCTGTACTTGTTTTTTATAAACTACAGCTTACTGAATGTAAATTCGCAGACATCTGTAGATGCAAAAATGTAAATTCGCAGACATATGTAGATGCAAAAATATACAAAATTTTCTGAGCACAGTCAATTTAGTTAGAAAATTTGTCATTTTCAACTGCTTCCTAAAACTTATAGTGAGCTTTTTCCTTCTTTGTTTTTTCAAAAATACTTTTAAGCTCTGTATCATTCTGAAGATCAATTAACTCATTTTTCAAATCCCTAGCTTCGTATCCAAAAATAGAAAGATGAGCTGTTGTACATTTGCTGTTGATATTGCCCATGGATTTTCCACCAAGCGAAATGGTTCTTGGAACTTACTGAAGTCACTAAACCTCACAGACATTTTATCCTTTAAGTTTTCTAATAGCTTCAGTAGGTCAGAAATCTCTTGACTTTCATCTGAATTTTCATCAAACAGTGCTTTAACGGATAAAAAGCTGAAATAATCTTCATTTGATAATTCTTTAATATACATATTCAGCATCTGCTCTAGTAAAAACACAATATTTATTATTTTCGTTATAATGTTAATGTAGTCTCCTTGCAATTTGGTCAATGTTTCATTCATAATGGCCATTATATCAATGAAAAACGCTACTTTACGCCACCAACTCATCATCATCATCTTTGGCTCGACACTCCTCTGTGGATCTTGGCCTGCTCTAAGATTCGTCGCCATTCTGTTCGGTTTTTGGCAATATGTTGCCATCTTCTGATTTTTAATATTCGTAAGTCGGTTGTTTCTACTCCATCTAACCACCTAATTCGCGGTCGGCCTTTACTTCTTTTTCCTACAGGTGTTCCTGTGGTTAGCTTTTTAGCAATGGTATTGTCTGGCATTCGTATTATGTGTCCAGCCTATCTAAGTCGCTGTGTTTTAATGAACGTTATGACATATGGCTCATCAAAGAGCTGATACAATTCAAAATTATATCTTCTGCGCCACTGCCCTTGGTCGTTTACAGCTCCAAATATTTTGCGGAGTATTTTACGCTCAAATATTCCCAAAAGTCTTTCATCTTTCTGCGTTAGTGTCCATGTTTCTGCTCCATATGTGAGGGCCGGCCTCAGCAATGTTTTGTATATAATAATTTTAGTTCTTCTTTGAGTGTTTCTTGAGTGGAAATGCTTTTGAAGTCCATAGTATGCCCTATTTGTAAGATTTATTCGTCTTTTGATTTCTTCGCTTGTTTTATTGGTAGCAGTCAATAGCGACCCAAGGTATGTGAAGTTGTCAACACGTCCAAAGGTATGACTTCCAAAGACTGTTTCTCGTTCCTCATTTGCTATCGGATCCTTTGTAACCAACATGTACTTGGTTTTGTCTTCGTTGATGACTAGACCGACCTGTTTCGCCGCTGTTTCCAATTCTAGGAGATATTGCTCAACATCTCGCTTGCTACGCCCTACTATGTCAATGTCATCAGCATATGCTAAGACTTGTATCGATCTATTGTAAATAGTACCGCCATCCCTAATTCGTGTATCTCGGACTGCCTTTTCTAAGGCAATATTAAATAGGAGGCAAGCCAGAGCATCTCCTTGTCTGAGCCCATCCTTTATCTCAAAGGATCTAGAACTCTCTCCCTGTATTCTAACAGTGGCTTCTAAGTTAGACATTGTCATTCTCGTTAGTCGGATAAGTTTCTCTGGTATACCAAACTCATGCATTGATTGGTATAGCACTGTTCTCTTGACACTGTCGTATGCGGCCTTGAAGTCGACGAATAGGTGATGGGTTTCAATATTGAATTCTAATGTTTTCTCGAGAATATGTCTTATTAAATGAATCTGGTCAATTGTTGATTTTTCTGGAGTGAATCCAACTTGATATTTACCAACTATGCCCACTGTGTAAACTTGCAACCTTTCGTAGAGAATATTTGCTAGTATTTTGTAAGCAGTTGTTAACAGGGTTATACCTCTATAGTTGTCACACTGGAGCTGGTCACCTTTTTTATGTAGCGGGCATATCACGCCTTGAGACCATTCACAAGGCATGGTCTCATTATGCCAAACAAGAAGTAAAAGCTTATGCAGTGTCTGTAGTAGGGCATCGCCACCATTCTTGTAGAGCTCACTGCAAATTTGACCAACTCCTGGTAATTTATTATTTTTAGGCTTTTTAATGGCTTGGGCAACGTTTTCGATGGTAGGTGGTCTTTCGTTTGGGTTGAAAGGATTTCAATCGTTTCGATTTGCTAGGGCTAACGCCACCAACTAAAATTATGAATATCAGGAAACTCTTTATTATTTGTATCCAAAAACTGAGTAATCTCATGTGGAATGCTAAAGAAACGTTCCAAAACTTTACCCTTACTCAACCATCTCACTTTTGTGTGGTAAAGAATGTCCCATATTACAACATAAGTTCTTTCAAAAGTTATTGAAACTGTCTGTGGTTTAGTTTATTTGATTTTATGACATTCACAATCTTTACAAGTGTTTTCATAACACAGCTGAAATTTTCACAAATTTAGCACCTAAGCTTTCTTGATAAATAATACAATGGAAACTCAATAAATTATCATTTTCCAAGTGTTTTTTCAACAGCTGAACAAATCCTATATTTCACTCCAACATTGATAGCCAACCATCAGTAAACACAGAAAAACCTTTCTTTAAATCAATTTTAATAAAAAATTTACTATTATGTTCAAATAATCAACACCTCGAGTTTGTCCAGCCATATGAATCATGACCAAAAAATCCTCTTTAAGAACATAATCCTTCGATACATACTTTACGAACAATAGCAGTTATGAATTCGCCATTATGTTAGTGGACGAGTCGAATGCAAGATTAAAATATTTACTTTTAAAGTAAATTATAAGTATAATCTGATTAAATATATAATAGAAACATAATTATATTATAACTCGCAAATTTTGTTTTACTGCCTAGCAGTCTGAGGACTGCGAAAAATCGCTCTGAGGGCCGCATGCGGATTTTTATCAGGGTTAACTTTATTTTAACAGAAACTTAAATATGACAATTAGATGCTGTATAAAGCTTATATTTATTTATATTTTTTAGTTTGTCTTAACATCAAATCTTAGTATAATAACGAAGAATGTTTATTTTGTTTAGAAAATTTTAACAAAGATTACTTTGCTTCACTGGTTGATTATGTCTTTTTCATGTTATTAATAAAGTTTATAACCTTGGAATTGGATACAAAAAAATCACACTGTCCTATAAAAACTTCCAAATATCTGAATTGGACCCATGGAGACATAAAATGAACAAATCTTGGGGATGTGAAGCATCGAATTGGACTTGATGGTTATCTTGATGATAGCAATTTGTATTGTTTAAAACTCGGCTGCTTAATTTTCACTTAAAACCATGTAGGCTTCACTTAGCCCTCAGACACGCTATGAGACACGCTTTTTATTAAATCCCGTGACATTGAATACAGCCACAAACCGGTGATTATCTCTGTCTGTGACTGTCAAATAGCATTTTAAGAATAAATTATCTTTCTCATTCCCGAAAAAGATCCTTTCCTGTTCAGAACCCAATTTGTTCTCCGACTACTACACTTTACACTATTTAATTTCCAATTTTACCAAATTCTTTATGACTTCTACAATGAAACCGATTTCTCTCGCTGTCGATCCATAACTGTTTTATCATCTTTATTTTTAGCTACACAATACCGGCAAATCAATTTAAACTTGAAACTAGATTGATTATTAATTATTAAGTTATTGTCTTCCTTCTACTAGACCTCACAAAACTTTAAATAATTTCTAGTCACTTTGTACGACGATGAATTATTAATCCTTTTATAAAACCCAATAAAACAATTCCAAAACTTTTTATAATATGACGACGATGGATAAAATTAAAACTAGGGTAAATAGTCCCCGCAAGTTCAGATCTAAAAATTTTCGAAAGTTTTCTGAGAAATTCCCTATAAACTTTTCGCTATGCTGGTCTAAGTATCTATTTCTAGGCGGATGTATGTATCAGTGTAGTAGTTTGTGATTTGTTTTCTTATATGCACCATATAGACTGCTCTGGTAACTTTTACAATTTCACACGTCATTGTGTTCTCTGAAACGGTATTTCGGTCATTTGGTACAGTAGTTTTGTCGATCTTTAGACTTTACAACTATAACACAACTATTTGGGTATGCAGCGGAAGATAGGACAAAGAAGTACTCTTTTTAGTCTACCAAGCTTTCGCAAGTCTTTATTTGCATCATCAGGGTGCTACAATAAACAAAATTATTACAAATATAAAATTTAGGTTATAAATATTATTATCAGATACAAATGAATTGGTTGTAAATTCATTACTACCAACTTAAACGACAAAACGTTAAATCTTAAAATAATAACAATGTAAAGGTTTTAAAAAGAAGAGGTAAACTAACTTATTTTGAAGTATCTCTTTTGAAGTATAGTATCTCTTCTACTTCTATGCCTTGAGATTTAACTTTTGAAGCTCAGCTAAGTGTAGCTAGTGCAACTTAACTTTTCATATCTTTTCATGAGCTTGTAGCCTTAACAAACAAACTCCTTTTGCTGATTCTGGTTGTCTACGACAATTTATGTATTATATTAATATCTAACCTTCCTCCGTCGTAGATTAAGTAATAGACGATGGCTTGATGCCAGCAATCTATTCTCCAGAATGAATAATTAAAATAACTTTATACTACATCACTCTTGCAGTAATGCATTGATTAGTGATGAGTGTAGTAGTGTCTGGAGATTCGGGAAACTGAGACCTCGAAAGCCCTGAAGAAGACATAAGAAAGGATGTTGTACCCAATAGCCAAATTTGGCTATTGACCGAAATTTATACCCACAAAGGGTAATAAGGAGGAAACTTCTAGTTTGATGTTTTAATAATTTTCTTTTCTTTATTTTCAAGACCTCTCTTTAAACGTGGCCATTTAATTTCAACAGAATCTTATATCTCTGAAATTTAATTAGGAGATAGTTCTTTTTTCACTGATAGTCGCTCAGGTTGTTCTTCAGAATCAGGACCTGACTGGGTTTCTTCTACTTATTTTACCAGCGCTTTCAAATCTTCTTCAGTGGAAATATTTTCTAGAGAATCTTCTGACAGTGGTTCAGTAAAGTTCTCAGACCTATTTTGGAAGTGACCACAAACATAGCTTCTTATGGACTGCACTTGATGCCAGAATAGTAAGCTCGGATCTTGGCGAACTTTGCAAATCGAAGATCCTCTGACTACTTGATTGTTAGGATATTTTTTAACCAAGACCTCAGCATAGTTTTGATGTCTTCATGAGCACGTTTAACAAATCCTTGTGTCTTGGCTTACCGTGTACTATCACCAAATCTTTCCACATGAAGCACAGTTTTATAATTCTGTTGGAGAATTCCCGTCCATTGTCGCTTTGAAAAATGTCAAGAAAAACTAATGCAACTTCTTCTGCACGTTTAGTTTTTATTGGCCGTAATTAAACAAATTGAATTAAGTGATCTTGGAAGAAAAACATGAATTTGAAATTAATTATCTCCTTGGGCTTACATATCTATCAAATCTATTTGACATCTTCTATTTATTTCAAAAGATTCATAGGA